GAAATAACCTAAGATCCATCATTTCCCCTCCCCTGACCACAAACAAGGGGCATTTCTTTGTGCCTTTGTAAAAAGCCCCAGCGAAGAGCAGAAAGGAGGGCAGCTTCCAAACAGGCTGTCAGATTTAGCCAAACAACTGGTCTCCCCATCGCTAATTAAGTTAATCCGGGTGGGTTTTTCTTTTCTTTTCTTGCCTGATTTCCTCCCGCGGCATCAGCAGGGACACCACAGAGCAATGTACAGGGTAACCGTTAGGCGGGCTTTCTCTTCAGCTGACAAAACGCATTAACGCCACCGAGGAGGGAACCGCGCGCCCCCCTGCACCCCCGATACCACACAAGTAATCAAAAACCTATTTTGTCTTCAGCTGACCATACAGTGCCTATGCCAGGGTAAACAGATCTGCCTTCTGCGGCTTTCCCCGCTTCCCCTTTCCTCCCTCTCCATTCCCCCCCCATCCATGTTTGGGGAGTTTTGGGATGTCATAACATTACATTGTGTCTGTTTATCTGAAATAGTCCCTCTCAAAACGCTTGTTTGTTCAACCCGACTGACATGTTGATACAGCTCCTGACAGCTGAGTGACTCCGATTGAAATAAAATGTAAAGTAAACACATTTGCATATAGTTTATCCACAGCCTGGGTCTGAGGAAGCAGAGGAAATAAGGGGATTGAAGTTGGAATTTCTTTTTTTTTTTTTGAAGAGTTTTTTGCTATGAGGTGCCTGTACTCACCAGAGACAGAGAGAAACAGAAAATGAGAAATCGCCCCCTCCCCCTGCCAGAGGGGATGGCCACACCTCAATCCCTTCTCCTCTGTTCTCCTCTTGGGATCTTGGGCGGGCACGCAAGCACACGCGGCCAGGGTGAGTTTTAAGTTGCCCGATCCAGGACTCGAACCGCATTCGACTATGTGGGAGTCCAGCCTCATAACCACTCCTCCATCTGCTGCTGATCCCTGCAATTGGAATTTCTTATCTTCGTCACCCATCTTCGCAGTCTCTACTCCCTTTTTTTTTTTTACCCCCTCTCCCCAACTCTCTGCTCCTGGACTGTTTCAGGCATTCAAGGACTGGCCAACCACTGGAGTTTAAAAAACTTCCTTGAGGGGCCAGCAGGTGGCATGGTGGTTAGGGGTGCTGGACGCCCACATGATTGACCATGGTTTGAGTCCCAGATCTGGTGCCTCGCTCGCTCTCGCGCATGCTTGTGTGCGCGCGCGCTCGCTCGCTCTCTCTCTGTCTTGCTGGTCAAATTGAAAATAACTATAATGATAAATAAAATAAAGGAAATAATTTTTTTTTTAAAGCTCCCTTTATAGCTTCAGCCTGATGGTCTCCCTCACTTGGCCTGAGCGTCTGAGGGCCTGGGTAGTCTGTTTAGGGAATCTAAGAGCCTGAGTGAATCTAAACAAATGAGCCGAGCCCTGTGTGTTTGGGCGGATCCTATCCCTTCTTTGAACTGGTCTCTGTAAAATGAGGTGGTTACACTAAACGTGATCTCTTGGAACTTTTCCAACTTGGATCTTCTACATATACTTTCTTGGATATTCAGGGACTTGACACTTTTTTTTTTTTTTTTTTAAAAAAAGGGAGAAATCACCCCCTGGGGGGATGACCACGCTGCAATCCCTTCTCCTCCATTCTCCTCTTGGGATTTTGGAGACACATGCACACGTGCTTGGCATGTTCTTCCAGGCACCAGGTCCTGATGTGAACCTCATGGTTGGCCAGGGGGGAGCCAGTCGCCTTAACCACCACACCACCTGGCTGGCCCAACATACAACCATAATAGCTAAAATGTCCTATCACACACTGAGACCCTAACTCCCAAGGTCCTTAGGAAATGGAACTCCATCTAATTCCTGGCTCAATTTTTTTGTTGTTTTTGTTTTTGTTTTCATAAAGGAATCAGAGGGACCAGCAGTTGGCATAATGGCTATGTTGCTGGACTCCTATGTAGTCAAATGCGGTTCGAGTCCTGGACCCGGTGCCTTAAAACTCACACTGGGTGCAGCCATTCCCCCCGGAAGGTGATTTCTCACTTGTCAGGCTCCAGGAGAAGATGGTGGTTAAAGGAGTTAAAGTTCCTCGTAATTTTTGCTTGTTGGAAGAACTTGAAGAAGGACAAAAAAGGAGTAGGCGGTGGTACGGTTAGCTGAGGCCTTGAAGATGATGAAGATGTGACACTTACAAGGTGGACAGGCCTGATTACCAGGCCACCAAGGACAAATTATGAAAACAGTATAGCCTGAAAGTAGAACGAGGACCTACATGCCCAGAAGCTCCTCCATCAGTTCGATTTGTAACAAAAATTAACATGAATGGAACAAATAATTCCAGTGGGATGGTGGATGCACAGAACATACGAGTGTTAGCAAAATACCAAAACCCTTATGGCATTAAAGTTGTCCTTCAAGGGACCAGCAGTTACCGTAGTGGCTGTGTCGCTGGACTCCCATGTAGTCGACCACGGTTCAAGTCCCGGATCCAGTGGCTTAAACTCATGCTGGGCACGTGTGCATGCATGCCCAAGATCCCGAGAGAAGAATGGAGGAGAAGGGATTATGGTGTGGCCATCCCCACTGGGGGGTGATTTCTCGCTTTCTGTCTCTCTGTCTCTGTCTGGCGAGCACACACGCCCTATAGAAAAAAAACCTCTTAAAAAAAAAAAAAAAAGTTGTCCTTCAAGAACTACAACATCTAATGATGTCCCAAAGAAAATACGAAGCTTCCACAGCCACCAGAAGGACAAACACACAACAATTCTTTTTAGGGCTCTCAAATTTGTCTTAAATCAACCTTCTACTCATATAAATGTCTTGATTAAATATCACAATGCGAATACCCACAGATTAAGGAAAACAATTCCAGCTGATAAACATGACCGGACATTTGTAAGAATATATTTAATACATGTACACCCGTTATGTTTTCAGGTAGCAAGAGGGGAAAATGCAGCACAATTTCTTTTTCCCTTGTTAAGACACTGTCGTTCAAACGTAAGCCTGGAGTTCTTGAAATAGAATTCTAGTTTTCAAGATGAAAGCATGGCAA